ATTCTCTTTCATTACTTTAAGTATGTCAGGCCATTCCATTCTGGCCTGAAGGGTTTGTATTGATAGATCAGCTGTTATCCTTATGGGAATCCCTTTGTGTGTTATTTGTTGTTTCTCCCTTGCTGCTTTTAATATTTGTTTTTTGTGTTTGATCTTTGTTAATTTGATTAATATGTGTCTTGGGGTGTTTCGCCTTGGGTTTATCCTGTTTGGGACTCTCTGGGTTTCTTGGACTTGGGTGGCTATTTCCTTCCCCATTTTAGGGAAGTTTTCAGCTATTATCTCCTCGAGTATCTTCTCATGGCCTTCCTTTTTGTCTTCTTCTTCTGGGACTCCTATGATTCGAATGTTGGGGCGTTTCACATTGTCCCAGAGGTCCCTGAGGTTGTCCTCATTTCTTTTGATTCTTTTTTCTTTTTTCTTCTATGCTTCATTTATTTCCACCATTTTATCTTCTAACTCACTTATCCTATCTTCTGTCTCTGTTATTCTACTCCTGGTTCCTTCCAGAGTGTTTTTGATCTCATTTATTTCATTATTAATTTTTAATTGACTTTTTTTTATTTCTTCAGCTTTCTTTATAGTCCAACTCTCACATCCATTCAGGACTACTGAAAAAATCATTGCCTTGACAAGACTGACCTTTGTTGGCAAAGTAATGCTAAAGTAGTAGGGCCAAAAATAAAGTGTTCCTGACAAATTTCCAAAGGGTCATATCTGAAACAGAGACACAGCCATCAGTCTTCTAGTGACACACGACAAAGACTAGGGGACCTGAGTCTGTGAGATCTTTGCTGTTAACTTGGCTATGCGACTTTCTGAAAACCTCTTATTGTCTCTGAGACTGGGGTTCTTTATCTTTCCTACGGGAGCAGTGAATGATACCTGTCCCACCTACTTTTTAAAGGATGACCTTACATGAAATGCAAAATGGTAACATAAAAAGATTGTAGAAAGTAACATAGTATTCAAGGGTAAGGTAATTGCTTGCTGGTCACTTTGCTTTTTTCTTCTTTCTGAAATATTGGACTTTTTCAGGACTCAGTTCTAGGCATTCTTCTCGTGTTCCATGTTTAGGAAATCTCATACATTCCCATAGTTTCAGTTTTATATATACCTTTCACACAGAACCATCTTTTGAATTCCAAGTATTTGTGTAGCTCCCAAACTACTGGGCCCAGTCTCAGTTTGACATTGCATTTAAAGAAATACTGTCCAGCAACTAAAAGTAGTTAAATAGTAATACTACTTTTTACTCAAGTCTCCAAGAACATAATAGCATGGAGAGTATAATTCAGCAATATTTCAAAAAATCTTTTATCCACCCCCACCCGTACCCCCAGTCAAACCTCAGTTAGTCCCTGTGTTATGTGCTCCCAATTTTCCATATTGACCCTGAGACTCACTTACAACTCCCTGCAGACTTTTTCTCATTTGATCTTCTTACAAACCATGTTTGGCCCCTGTTTTCTTCTCTATCCTTTTTTGCCTATTATGATAACTGCCCAGGAACTCGGCTGGCAAAGACCAAATTCTCTCTTGAAGATGAGAGAGGAAGGAAAGATTAGTTTGGCAAAGACTCTTATTTGAATAGGCAAAAAGAGGAGGCTGGGAACATTTACATGTAAATAACCTGTATTTCCAGCACACTTACAGAATGTTTTACTTGTTCTTTACTTGTTTATTTCACAGAACACCTCTGATTCAGACTGTCTAAAACTTGACCTTATCATCCATACAAATTTGTGTCTCCTCTAATACCCTTATCTTCATATTAAGTGTCCATCATGCTCTTAGTTGCTTATTTTGAACATATGAAGGTCATTCTCAAATTCTTCCTCTCCTCACCCTTCACAGTTCCATTCACATTCCCTTCATCCTAGATACTGAATATATCCTTCTAGAATCTCTCCATTTACCCAATCTCTACTTCTGCCACTGAACTCCGTGTTTCCCTGCAATCCATTTTCCATATTCCAACCAGAAAGATCATTTTAAAACATGCATCTGGTTATGCCTTTTCCTCTGTTACACTTTTCAAAGGCTTTTGAGTACCAAGCCTTTAATATGGTCTCTGCTTCCTAGGTGGCTCAGTGGTAAAGAAGCCACCTATAATGCAGGAGACTCAGGTTTGATTTCGGGGTCAGGAAGATCCCCTGGAGGAAGAGATGGCAAACCTCTCCAGTATTCTTGCCTGGGAAATTCCATTGACAGAGGAGCCTGGCAGACTACAGGCCATGGGGTTGTGAAAGACTTAGCGACTAAACAACAATACGGCCTCTCAGATCCCATATACTCTGGCTAGTTTCTGCTTATGTCTCTAAAAGTAGTCCCCTTCTTAACTGGATGCATCTCTTCCTGCCTCAAGGCCTTTATCTAAGCTGGGTCTGGATGTCTCAAGTATCTTTCACCCTCCTTACCCTCTACCCCACCCACCAACCTCCTCATCCAAGATTTTTCTGACTCTTCAGACAGGGCCCAATCCCTTTGCTATAGACTCTTGTTCCACTCAGGTTTGATCTCTGGATCTGGAAGAGCTTCTGGAATAGAAAATAGCAACCTATTCCAGTATTCTTGCCTGGAAAATTCCATGGACAGAGGAGCCCAGCTTGCTATAGTCCATGGGTTGCAAAGGGTTGGACATGACTGAGCACAGACACACACACTTGTTCCCTATATTTTTCCTGTGATGAGACCCATTGCACTTGAAATCTATATACTTGTTCTAACACATTTTTCCCAATAAACCTTAGCATGAAGTCAGAAGGCATGTCTCTCTCCTGTTGCACTTCTTCCACTGTGCTTACCACAGTACACAGCTCAGATCGAGTATTCATTGTACATGTGTTGATTAAAGGATATTTCTTCCATGATTTGGGCCTTGTCTGCCTCTCATCTCTACATATTGTGTTTCACACTCTGTTTACCCCTGAGAAAACCTCATGTGATTTCACAGTTTTTAGGCTCATGCTCTTCTCTCTCAAATGTTTCCTCTTTCTAAGTTAGATGAAAGCCAATTTAGAGTAGTCTGTGCTATTAAATTGATTAGCAGTCAGATGGAAACTTTTCAGCAGTTTAGGTGATGATTTAATTATAAAAGCTATTCTTACTTTGTCTGCTAATATATACTTATTATTTTGTGGAACTCATAAAATCGTACGATTCTTTGCACTGTTGCTGTATACTGACACATGCTCCAGAAGCAAATAACACTAGTTGAAACTACAGAGTATATAGTTCTGAGACTTAATGTTCTGACTTGTGTGCAAATTCAATAAATATTTACCAGTAGTTTTCAGCAATACGGTGAATATTCCAGAAGTAGATATATGTACTATTTAAATGTCTTGTTGATATGTTTATTATTTTACCTTTGAACAAAGCAAATAAATATATAGCAAAAAATATTTAAAATAGATAAGATTGGAGATGATTGTGGTGTTGGGAAGGAATTTAACTCACAAAATAAATAGGCATGAAGTCCAAAACACTTGGTGAAGTGAGCCTCACTGACTTCGTACGTGAAAGGGGAGATAAAAGACGGCTATGTGATTTATAATGCCCATAAGGAAACACAAATCACTTATTGAGAAGCATAACTGTTGCAGCTATTGAAACCAGAGAGAAATGTCTCCTGTTGTCAGAATGTGGTAAATAGCACCTTTTCAGCCCTTGTGCAGAAAGCATGTGTGTGCGTGCTCAGGCACTTAAGTCATGTCCAGCTCTTTCCCATTCCATGGACTGTAGCCCGGCAGTCTTTGTCCACAAAAAGCATGGCAACAGGTTTATTAGCACTGCTGCCTTCAATTGCAGCAGGCTATTTTTTGGCATTGCAAAGATCACTTCATTAAAAACAATTCTACATGGGTCTACTATGCAACCCATTGATATTATGAAGTCATCTGGTCATTGATTTATATTGTCCACAGTATAAAGAGATTAAATTATGTTAGATAATCCTGCTTAATTGTTTTCACTATGCTTTTGGTAAGTATTGATTAGATGTTAGATTTTGGTTAAATAACCAGACGTATCTGGAAACTGGAAGTGCCCCTGGGAAGCGAGCTAGATATGGCCAGCAGGACCGAGATTTTATTTTAAGAGATAATTTGGGATTGGTTTAAAATTGTATGCCATAGAACTGTAGTTTTTAAAACATGTGATGAGCATCAGGGTCATCTGGAGGATTTTTAAAAGACAGGCTCGTCTCCCACCTCTGTAGTTTTCTACTTAATAGGTTTAGGGTGGTTGAGGTGAACGTATCCTTATTTTTTTAAAGAAAGCCACACCATTGATTCTAGTGCAGTTTGAGAATTGCTGCCATAGATTATACTGTATTAGTTTTATATAGAAAAAAATTTAAAGCAGATATAACCAAGTACATGTTATCCCCAAATCATCTATTTTATGGTTAAGATCATCTGTTTTTGAAGACTGTAAATTCCCAAATTATTGTCCATTGCAAGCTCTTTCTGAAATGTACATCTAGCCAATTGAGTAAGGTGATCTAATGTATGGGCATCTAATTAGGAAACAAATTAAGAGTTTTGTTGTGTCTATAACTTTGAATAGTTAATATGTATTTGGGGATAATTTTTTATTCTCACCATTGCCTGATTACATTTCCATATGGACTAACAATATTTCAATGATTATATTCTATCTGGAGAGCATTTTCTATTTTTAGTCTTCATAAAGTTTTAAAGGATACTTAAACATGCCTTCAAAGTTATCTGAGATCTCTAGGATTACTTTCATTTGTGGGTTTTCAAGTGATAATATGAAAAATGATATTTATAGATTGATATTTAACATGTCTTAACTTATATTCAGTAGTTACTAGTTATAAACAAAATCTTAAATATGTGGTAAACCTTTGTTTAAAATAGAAAACTAAGCCCCCATATGTGTGAGTGTATATGTCTTAGTCTATCTTAATATCTGTGACAGCAGAAATCTTGAATGAATGTCTGATGCTTACTTTCATTCTTTCTTTACAGGCATTGCTTCTATGACGGTGCCAGTGTACATTGCTGAGGTCTCACCCCCCAATTTAAGAGGTCGATTAGTCACCATTAATACCCTCTTCATCACAGGAGGGCAGTTCTTTGCAAGTGTTGTTGATGGAGCCTTCAGTTATCTTCAGAAAGATGGATGGAGGTCTGTAATCATTCTTACATTTAATTTTCAAATAAATTATGACTTTAGGGGATAGAAGAAAAATTGAGAAATGATGGAAAAGAAAAAATATGACTAGGTATTTTGAATCATTACAGCTAATTCATACATGATGGTATTCAGCAAAATTGGAAGTGGACCAGAAGCTGATACACACTTTGTATGGTATTTTGCAATATTTGTTTAAAATGAATGTAACAATAAATATGCATGGAGTTTTTGAATTTTATCAGTGATTGTTAAGCTATTTATGGACTGCAGATATAACTAATGTCCTTTTTGGATTTAGGAAGCTACATTCTGATCTGAAAGAGAATTCAGTCTTTTTTTTTTGTAAAACAGACAATCTCATGTTAAAACTTAAGATATTATGGGCTTGAGATTTTGATATACTTCATGGTATTCAAAAAACAGATTCATGTAACTCTTCCAGGGTTTTAATTTTTAATAAAATTTCCCTATACTCTGTATAGGTGCTGGAGATAAAATATTCCACAAGACAGACTCTGGTGCATATTTTCATCATGCTTAAAGTATTGAAATTAATTCTTAACAGCTGAAGAAAAAGGGTTTACTGCTGTGTGGATATAGGGAATTAAACTTATGTATGTAAGTGGCACAATAAATCAGAGTCATTAAAGACTTAGACTGATGAAGTTTCATTAAAAGTTATGTGAAGAAACTCACAGAAGTCCGTAAAGGCCTATGTTTGTCAGAAAACATTAAAGAGAGGACACATTTCTTTAAAGCATTAACTCTGTCTGCAGATGCTGAGAAACCACTTTCTACCTCTGAAGGAATGAATCTCTGACAAAGTGAGAGATTACTGAAAATTGAAGCATGAAATTCCTCTTTCTTTTCTTCCCTGTAGAAGAACAGAAAGAGGGAGTTGATAACTTGTTACAATCATCAGTTCAATTGGTTTCAGTCGGTCAGTCATGTCCAACTCATCGCGACCCCATGAACTACAGCACTCCAGGCTTCCCTGTCCTTCACCAATTCCCGGAGCTTGCTCAAACTTATGTCCATTGAATTGGTGATGCCATCCAATCATCTCATCCTCTGTCATCCCCTTGTCCTCCTGCCTTCAATCTTTCCCAGCATCTGGGTCTTTTCTAATCAGTTGGCTGTTTGCATCAGGTGGCCAAAGTATTGGAGCTTCAGCTTCAGCGTTAGTCCTTCCAGTGAATAGTCAGGACTGATTTCCTTTAGGATTGACTGGTTTGGTCTCCTTGCTGTCCAAGGGACTCTGAAGAATCTTCTCCAGCACCACAGTTTAAAAACGTCAATTCCAACTTTCACATCCATACAGGACTACTGGAAAAACCATAGCTATGACTACCTGGACTTTGTTGGTAAAGTGATGTATTTGCTTTTTAATACCTGTCTAGGTTTGTCATAACTTTCCTTCCAAGGAGCAAGTGTCTTTTAATTTCTTTTAATCACAGTCAATGTCCGCTGTGATTTTGGAGTCCAAGAAAAGAAAATCTGCCACTGCTTACACTTTTTTCTCTTTCTATTTGTCATGAAGTGATGGTACTGGATGCCATGATCTGAAATTTTTTTAATGTTGAGTTTCAAGTCATCATTTTCACTATCCTCTTTCACCTTCATCAAGAGGCTCTTGAGTTCCTCTTCACTTTCTCCTATTAGAGTGGTATCATCTGCATATCTGAGGCTGTTATTTCTCCCAGCAATCTAGATTCTAGCTCATGTTTCATCCAGCCAAATCCAGTGAAATCCAGTGCATTGCACATGATGCACTCTTCATAAAACTTAAATAAGCCGGGTGACTATATAGCCGTGTCATACTCCTTTTCCAATTTCAGACCAGTCTCTTGTTCCGTGTCTGGTTCTGTTACTTCTTGATCCACATCCAGGTTTCTCAGGAGACAGGTAAGGTGGTACTTACCTGGTACTTCTGTTTCTTTAAGAATTTTCCAGTTTGTTGTGATGCATACAGTGAAAGTGGTGGTACTTACCAGGTACCACCTGGTAAGTTTTTAGCTTACTCAATGAAGCAGAAAGGTTTTAGCTTACTCAGTGAAGCAGAAGTAGATGTTTTTCTGGAATTCCCTTGCATTCTCCATCATCCAGCTAATGTTGCCAATTTGATCTGTGGTTCCTCTGCCTCTTCAAAACCCAGCTTGTACATCTGGAAGTTCTCCATTCACATACTGTTGAAGTCTAGCTTAAAGGATTTTGAGCACAGCCTTGCTAGCACATGAAATGAGCACAGTTTTTCAGTAGTTTGAACATTCTTTGGCATTGCCCTTCTTTGGGATTGGAATGAAAATTGACCTTTTTCAGTCCTGTGGCCATTGCTGAGTTTTCCCAAATTTGTTGGCCTGTTGAGTTGAGGCACGTTAAGAGCATCATCTTTTAGGATTTGAAATAGCTCAACTGAAATTCTATCACCTCCATTAATTTTGTTTTTAATAATGCTTCCTAAGACCTCTTGAATTTATACTCCAAGATGTCTGGTTCTAGATGAGTGACCACGCCATTGTGGTTATCCAGATCATTAAGACCTTTTTTGTATAGTTCTGTGAATTCTTGCTTCCTCTTCTTAATCTCTTCTACTTCTGTTAGGTCGTTACCATTTCTGTCCTTTTTCATGCCCATCCTGCATGAAGCGTTCCCTTGATAGCTCTAGTTTTCTTGAAGAGATCTCTAGTCTTACCAGTTTTTTTGTTTTCCTCTATTTTTTTCACATTGTTCAATTTAAAAGCCTTCTTATCTCTCTTTGCTATTCTCTAGACCTCTACCTTTAGTTGGGTATATCTTTCCCTTTCTCCCTTACCTTTTGCTTATATTATTTCCTCAACTTATATGTATAGCCTCTTTGCCTTCTTGCATTTCTTTCTTTTTCTTTATTTGGGATGGTTTTGTTCACTGCCTCCTGTGCAGTGTTTCAAACCTCTGTTCCTAGTTCTGCATGTAATTTATCTCCCAGATCTAATCCCTTGAATCTATTTGTCACCTCCACTGTATAATCATAAGAAATTTTATTTAGGTCATACCTGAATGGCCTAGTGGTTTTCCCTACTTTCTTTAACTTGGCCTGAATTTTCCAGTAAGGAGCTGATGATTTGAAGCACAGTCAGCTCCCGGTCTTGTTTTTGCAGACTGCGTAGAGCTTTTCCATCTCGGGCTTGCAAAGAACATAATCAATCTGATTTTGGTATTGACCATCCAAAATCAAAGTCCATGTGTAGAGTCCCATTTGGTGTTGACTCTACACGTGGGCGTACGTGGTAATGTCCATGTGTAGAGTCATCTCTTGGTTTGTTGGAAAAGGCTGTTCATTGTGACCAACATGTTTTCTTGACAAAGCTCTCTTATCCTTTTCACTGCTTCATTTTGTAGTACATGGCAAAAATTGCCTGTTATTTTGGGTATCTCTTAACTTCGTACTTTTGCATTCCAGTCCCCTGTGATGGGAAGGACATCTTTTTCTTAGTTCTAGAAGGTGTTTTAGGTCATCATAGAACTTGTCAGCTTCAGCTTCATCAGCATCAGTGCTTGGGGTACAGACTTGAATTACTGTGATGTTGCATGGTTTACCCTGGAAACGACCCTTGATTATTCTGTTGTTTTTGAGATTGCAGTCTTAGGATGGCCAAGAGGCTTGTGTAACTCAGTAAAACTATGATCCATGCCATGCATGGCCACCTAAGACAGATGAATCATAGGGAAGAGTTCTGACAAAACATGGTCTGCTGAAGAAGGAAATGGCAACTCACTTCATATTTTTGCCTGAAGAGCTCCATCGACAGTATGAAAAGCCAAAAAGAAAAGATACTAGAAGATGAGCCCTCCAGGTCGGAAGGTGTCCAATATGTAATTGGAGAAGGACCATTATTAACAGTAACAACTCCATAAGAAATGAAGTGTTTGGGCCAACATGGAAACGATGCTCAGCTGTGGATGTTTCTGGTGGTGAAAGTAAAGTCTGATGCTGTAAAGAACAGTGTTCCACTGGAACCTGGAATGTTAAGTCTGTGGCTCAAGGTAAACTGAATGTGTCGAGGAGGAGATGGTAGAAGTGGATATCAATATCTTAGGAGTCAGTGAACTACAATGGATGGGAATGAGCAAGTTTAATACAGATGGCCATTATATCTACTACTGTAGGCAGGTATCCCTTAGAAGCAATGCAGTAGACCTCATAGTCAACAAAAGTGTCTGAAGTGCTGTACTTGGGTGCAGTGTTGGAAATGACAGAACGGTCTCGGTTTGTTCCCAAGCAAACCATTCAACATGGTTATTAGATGACATAAATTAGAGCCTGTTCTTTTCACTTGATAACTACCCACCTTTTCCCTCATTCAGCTTCTGAGAGTTTATTAGCTAAAATGTGATTACTGATCATCTTTACGATAAGAATCAAATTAAGATATGCAGAAGTTGAAACTGACTGAGAAACTTCTCACAAGTTTTTGTTGAAAAACTAAAATAAATCACTGTATTTTGCCTGATGGGTCAGTGCTTCCATTCTCTTATTGTTTAGATGTAAATTGTTTTCTGCTGAACTGCTGGAGAATGAACTTGTCTAGAATTGCCAATAGAAGATTGACCAGTAGAAGACTGATATTTTTCTAGCCAGTAGAATTTTCAGCAGCAGAAGATTGATATTTTTCTAACACTGTAGTGTCATCACACATTCTATACTGGGAAGAATATTGGGCCCTCAATGGGTTCCATGAGGAAAGGGGAAATAGGTTTTTGAAAGTATCAATAACGATTCAGTCTTTTAAGATAGATTTATTGAAATATAATTGATAAACCATTCAGTTCACCTGGAAAATCCCATGGACAGAGGAATCTGGCGGGCTGCAGTCCATGGGTCTCAAAAGGTTGGACAGGACTTAGTGACTAAACAACAATAACAATGGGATATATCACATATTAGATAGCCGTTCATTTGTTGATGGGCATTTGAGTGATTTCTACTTTTTGGCTATTAAAAATAATGCTGC